TTTTACAGAAAGATGCTGACCAGAAAGATGCCATCATCATCCCACTGTGGCTTCCAGGGCATTTTCTGCTGAGCGTAAGAACATTATATCATTTACAGAACAATTTTGTGAGTGGCATACAATATCAACATAACATGTTAGGACATATGTTGTAGATGATGTCTGTGTTTTAACCTTAAAGTCATTTGTGAGTTTCCTGTGGTTTTGGGTAATTGTACAGCTGTTCTATTTTCTGTAGGTAATGAGGCCACTCCAGAAAGAAATTTCATTTCTGGATTCCCATTATTTCAGAAGAGCAGATGGTTTCTCCAGTCAGGCCTACAGGAATCTGTTGAGGTTGTCAGTGTTGTGTGTCCTGGAGGTCACGTTATCCTGACCTGCCAATGTTTACAAAAATTTCCTAAAATAAGTTCAATCAGGGGGCAATGTGATTATAAATGTACCCTGCTCTGCACATTTGTTATAGGGTCAGATGAGATTTGCTTCAAATAGCTGAAATGGAAGAAAATAGACAAATATTAAATGCAATGAAAAGGGGAGGGAGACAGAAAGAGAACGTCCTTGTTGAACTTTAGGAAATTATGAATATTTACCAATTTTCATGGTCCCGTTCTTGGACATGTTCCCTGTTCTGTGGATTACAGATATTAGGCATGTTTCCATTAGCAGAACTCCAGGGTACTTCCTGGGATGGGGAACTTGACCTGGAGCTAGGATGTCACAGTCCTCTCAGCTGTTGTGTCTCCATTCAAATTCAGCCCTTTCAGAACTTCCACAGACGTCAGTGTATCACAACTGCTTTGGCAGTGAGTGACGTCACTGATCAGCCCAAAAAAGCACCCAATGTGACATTAATAATAATAAAAGCATTTATTTTATAGAAGTATATTCTAATTTAATCCATTCGGAGGACAAGAGCAGCTCTGAATTTTGTGAGACAAGCCCCTTTAATTAAGTCTGTGGTGGATTTTTACCGTTTTGTCCAACAGCTGTGGGGGGATTACACAGAGTCTTCCAGTGTCGGGAGTTAGACTTTAAATGCGATCGGTGCCTTTTTTTATGCGTTCATTCTGCTTCACCAGCTACTCTTCTAATTATACTGCTGCCAGTTGTTTTTGATGTCTGATGATCTCATTTCCTACTGAGTTACAACCAATCAGTTACTCCAGAGCAGGTACTCAGAAGGTTCCTGAAAACGGCTGTTTGACATGTCGGGAGGTTCCTGTAAATCCATCCTCAAGTTATTGTCGTGGAAACATGCCTATTGATACTGTTGGCATGCCATCAGTTTTTTATATATATTTTTATCTCTAACAAAATCATAGCAGTGTATACCTTTTTAAGTTTTACATTGTTGTTGTTTTTTTTGGGTTACTCAGTGTCAGACTCGAAGACTGGGTTCGGGAGTAAGAGCTTTATTTCAGACGGCTGGCTGAAAGCGGTGCTGGAAAGGCTGACGGTTGGATGAGGTCTGAGTAGGAAAGGTGGAGGTTCAGCTGTATTAGCTTCAGAATACTCTGATCATGGATCACGGTGGAACGATGACTGAGTGAAGAGCCGGTGTGGCGTCTTCCATATATAGACACGGATTGACACAGGTGCAACGTGGAGGGAATCCCCACGAGGGGCATGCTGGGTAATGTGGTCCAAGACGGAAGCCAGTCAGCTGGGAGAGCCCGGCCTGGGGGCTTGGACTCTGACACTCAGAGATGTTGCACAGCAGACAGCTGTGGGAACCTGGACGGAGAAAACTGCTCTGGATTTGGAGGTATTGCCTGCAATATCAAAATTAAACTGAAATGTAATTATCTGCTATTTGTTGAATTTAACTGTCATACAGGGTGTTCCGAAGCAGACACATGGCAATGATTGTGGTGTCTTCATGATAATGGTGAGTGACGGTAATGCTGTATACAATAACGTGACACATGACTTTATTTTTATTCTTTTGTTGGATATCTTATTTATAATTGCACAAAGTTAATTTAGTTCCAGGTACAGAAGCTGGAGCCACTGATTGGATAATATGTAGTATTTTGCATGGCTTCAATTGAAGAACTATGTTAGGCTCATGTAAAGTGTCACGAGCGTGCCTGGTGAGTGGAGCAGAGGTAGGATCCAAATGCGGGGAGGAAGAAGGCAAACAGGTAAGTCCGTTTAACATAAGTTTATTAATGACGCACGCTGGACAACTGAAACAATGACTCGACATGAAACACAGAACAGAAGGGGTTTAAATACACGAGGAGCGGGAGCTATGGTGATTGGGAAACAAGAGGCAGGTGGGAGCAATTAACGGAGACACAGACTAAAACATAAGAGAAGACAGGACAGGGTGTGACAGTACCCCCCCCCCCCCCCCCCCCCACACACACACACACCTCAAAGGGCGGATCCCAGACGCCCGCAGGAACAAGGAGCAGGGAGGGAGAGGGGGACCCGGAGGGAGGGCCCAGAGGAACTGAGGGACCGATGCTGAGGCGGCAGGGATCAGCAGAGTCCGGGGGCTGGCGCCTGCGGCAGAAGAGGAGGCGACGGGCCCTTGGAGGCCGGCGCCTGCGGCGGATGAGGAGGCGACGGGCCCTTGGAGGCCGGCGCCTGCGGCAGATGAGGAGCTCTGCAGACATAGTCTCTGCAGGCCGGGCCGTGGACAGAGTCCCTTGGACGGGCTGGACCGGAGCGACCTTCAGAACCACCATTGGAACCGGAGATGATGGAGATTTTGGACCAGAGGGAGCGTCGACCTCTGGAGTGGAGAGAGCGTCGACCTCTAGAGTGGAGAGAGTGTCGACCTCTGGAGTGGAGAGAGCGTCGACCTCTGGAATGGAGAGAGCGTCGACCTCTAGAGTGGAGAGAGCGTCGACCTCTAGAGTGGAGAGAGCGTCGACCTCTAGAGTGGATAAGGTGACTTCAGACGAGACAACTTCAGTGGCGACTTCAGACGAGACGACTTCAGAGGCGACTTCAGACGAAACGGCTTCAGACACGTTGACCTCGGAGACGACTTCAGACCATAGACTGTACATACTGGACAAACGGATTCCATAGACTCCAATAACACGTTTTTTATCTATAATGGGAGGTGGTCACCACCGCCATTTTGACCGTGTCACAGGTTCCGTCCAGCCCAGACAATTCCATAAAAGGGAAGAGAGGAGGCGCTGAGGGTGTGGCTGTAAGGCTGGGCTCGAGTGACGACACCCGTGCGAACTAGCTACGAGCTAACCTGAAGCTAACCCTGGCTAACCCAAAGCTAACACGGAGGTGGGAGCCGAGCTAACGGATGTAGCCACCTAGCTTCAACCCAACCGGAGCTAACTGGAACACCCATCGACCTGAACCTCACACGGAGTTTAGGTGGAGGTTTTCGGCGCCTGTTAGTAACAAGTACCTGGATTTAAAAAGTATTGAATCGGTAAGTTTATAATTTATTTCCGTAATGCAAACATTTTGCTGTGAGCAAGTTTTCAGTACCGTATCTTCCGGGCTATCGCTCCCGAGTCGCACCAGCCATTAAATGTATAATGAAAAAGAGAAAATATATTTAAGTCGTATTTTGGGGGGACATTTTATTATCTTTCTTACAAAATCTGAGACCAAGCGTTTCACATTGCAACACAAGCACCGGTAACCATAACAGAATGAACAACAGCCAGCAGAGGAGAGGATGGCGGTGTTTCAAACCCTCCCGGCCGGCGAGGACAGCTCATTCCTGGGCTGGAGCCGGCCCTCAGCACCCCGCCACAGGCTCTAACAGATGCTGGCGGTGTTTGAAACCCTTCCAGCGGGACAGGGGAACTAATTCTTGGGCGGGTCGGAGTCGGCCCGCAGCAGCGCGGTGTAGCCTACATATTTTGTTATATAAGTCGCTCCGGAGTATAAGTAGCAGGACCAGCCAGAATATGTAAAAAAAGTGCGAGTTATAGTCCGGAAAATATGGCAGTTATTAGTATTCGAGCTAAATTAGCAGCCTAAATACATTTCATATATTTCCAAAATGTGATACTTGTTTGTATCTTGTACAGCCAACTAGTCTTTATTCTGGACTCAGTACAATTTACCAAAAGTAAAGAGACATTCTACAGATGAAGTAAGCACAAGATAACTTACTGGAAGAAACAGAATTATTATCATGAGAACCAGAACAAGACAGCCTGATAACAGTCATGTGAAAATAACAGTTAAAAAGTATGTATGTATAATAGAAATAAAAATATATTAGAGTTAGTGTAACTCACTGTTATCCAAACAATAAATCAGCCATAGCTGATTAGTAAATATGACATGAGGTCTGGGAGTTTTTAATTTTAATTTTTTTCTTAGATCTGTTTAAATGTCACCATGGCAGCCTGTGTGTCTCCAACATCAGCTACACAAAGCAGCAAGTGTAAGTTCCACATACCTGTCTCACCACTTCATGTATGGTTTTGTACTTTATACAATTATGACAAACCTGTTATTTTTTCTCCATAGCCATTTGGATCATTGGAGACAGCTGAGTGAGGCGTGGTGCCCAGAGAGCTGCAGAGACCGTGGGAGACAACCTTGGCCTCCCTGACGTCTGTGTCTCCTGGTTCGGTTGGGGCGGACCATCGACATACATACATGTGCCGACACTTTGCGCCCTGTTTTATAAACTGTAGTGTTGAAAATAAATGTTTTTGCTCAATTACTGGAATTTCTTTGGTTAAGACAAAAGTGAGGAATAATCATTTACAAGTTATTTGTACAACAGGCCCATTTTAAATCCCAACAGTTTCTTAGCAGACAATAGAAATGTGTTCTTTACTAACTTTACTTGGTTTAAAAATCTTACTAAAATAGTGCCGTATTGCAAAACTCAATCATACTTATGTAAACATTAGCTTTGTAGATATTTTTTACAGATCTATATTTGTGTGCAACAAAAACCAAACTTAAATAATTTGTCATTCTTTATTGAAAAACAACAAAATACAGTTATACAGAAGTGTGGGAAAATGATAATGTGAAAGTATTGCTCTTTAAACGTAATCCTATTTATCTTTAAAAAGAATAACTCTAAAAATGTCCTGTACAGCATCATGACAGAAGAATGGTGGTCTGTCTGTCAGAATGTGCTGAACAGATTTGCTCTTTGAAGAGGAGTGTCATGTTTGGAGGAAGGTACTTAACCCAAGACATGCAGAATACAACACTGACCAAAAACTGATGGAAAAAATGATTTATTTATAAGGAGGAACTTAAGGTGCACAGATAAGTCTGTGGTTGGAACTGCAACAACAGCTCAGCGTCTGGAGGAGGGAGAACACAGGTGAGCATAGGTTCTGGTTTCAAAATCCATTGTAGGCAGGCAGAGGTGTTCAGCAGACTTACTGTGGTGGGTGTATGTGTTGGCTGGAGGAGGGAGAGGTAGAGAGCCGGGGGAAGCGCAGGAGAGGGAGCAGAGGTGGAGAGAAGCAGGGCGTCCTGGTGGATGGGGCACTGGGTGAGATGAGAGGTGGGTTATGGAGGGTGGTGATAAGGTCCGTGTGTTGAATATCCAAATCCTGGAGTAGAGGTCAGTATCCAATGAGGTCGACAGGAATCCTGAAGAATGGTAAATCCAATATAAGAGCAAAAACACTACGAAATAACATTAATCCTAGGAACACTAGAGGTAACGAACACTAGAGGTAACACGAGTGGCTGGTTACTACCAAAACTGAGGCAATCTTCTGGCGTCAAATTGTGTCATCCATCCACCTTAAATAGGAAAACACCCCGCTGATTGCTGATCAGGAACGGCTGGGGTGGAGTCACCAGAACCATGCTCAAAGCCTTCATGTTCACGCTGCAGAGACTGAACGCTGGCCAGGTCGTGGCCGTAGTTGTCTGTGTTCAGGGCCTGGTTCTTCTCCTCGATCCACTCTTTGGTCTCATCAGCGTCTCTGAGAAGACATCAGAACTCCGTCTGAGTGTGGGTCCAAACTCTACTGACCCGTAAGCGGCGCATAAGTGTGCGGGGTACCTGTGGAAGCGCTGCACATCATGGGCGCTGCCCAGCATGTTGCTCCGGTCTTCAGCCAGCTGTTGCAGCAAGCGCCAGCAGTTGTTCAGCTCCTGGAGAGAAACCAAACCCAGTGAGATGAAGGTGGACGCCAGCGGGCTGGACGCCGGACAAGGAAACCTGGAGACGGATCGCTCAGACAGGAAGGGAAGAGCTTCCTCTTACCTTGATGGAATTAAAGTTAGCCGTCGTCTGAACGCCCAACCATACGGTCTGAGGTCAAAGGTCACAGGAAACACACACCAGTCAGCAGTCATACAGATGCATAAAGATAACTGTAGCCATGGCAACCAGCTGACATGTCCCCACTTTCACCAGCACTTGGTGCCTGCCGGGTCACCTGAATTCCTGTGTGATGTCAGCACGGTCGGCCGTGACTGCGGCCATCAGAGGTGACCTCTGATCAGCTGAATGAACTCACCTTCTAGGGTGACGCCGTGTTACCCCGGGTTTCCACGGGAGCCGTCAGCAGCACGTTACTGCAGCAGCACGTCTTGCTCGCGTAAGCTGCTGCTTGGCCCTTCCCACGAGACGCGAAGCAGCAGGGGAGCAGCTGTCACCGACCGAGCACGAAGTCACACGAGTGACTTCGTCAGTAAACACAACAACAAGCAGGAGAAAATTACAACATGGTTTGTGTTTTATGTTCTGTCCGTTTTATAATCGCCAATACGGACCTGAAAAACAAAGAAGACCGCTAGCTAGGTGATAACTTCTCACGGGGCCGCAGTTAGTAACCTTTTTTAAAAGTAAAGCAACTGGAAAGCAGTACGTTCTTTATTCTGAAAATCTCGGTAGCTTCTCTCAATTTCCGTGTCCGATTTCCTGTCTTTCCTTCCCCAAAAATGTCGAACTTGACCCGTTTCAGAGGCGTCGCGTGTAGAAAATAGAACCGGCGCGTAAAGGCCGCGACATGCTGCTCCTGAGACGCGGCCGACTCGCGCTGCCGACGGCTCCAGTGGAAAAGGTTCTGTTGACCACAGCGGTTCCTATCAGCAGCTATGACGTGCTGCTGCAGTAACGCGCTGCTGAAGGCTCCTGTGGAAAGCCGGGGTTAGAGTCGGCTTCATCCTGTAAACAAACAAATGAGTGGTAACAAAAACACCACGTCTGGTTCTGGTGGAGGCAGAGGACAACACGCACCTTTCCAGGAGCAGAACCCAGATGTTCTTGTTGCTACAAACAGAGACGAGCAGAGTTAACAAACCAGGAAGTGAGAGGGACCAGCTGCTGCAGACAAGTGACGCTCACCTGAGCCTGAACCATAGGAGCCTCCTCAGCCATCAGACCTTCTGACTCCAGTTCAGATGCCACCTTGTTGATGTCCCTCAGGCGGGACTCGTTGGCCTTCAGGTCCTGCAGGACAAAAGCACCTGCTGATTATCACCTGAGCTGATCTGACAGCTGCTGCTGGAAGACGGAGAGGAGGAAAAGTCCGACCTTCTGGAAGTCGTCAAACTTCTTCTGCAAGACCTCGACCTGCTCCAGGTCCGACCCGCCTCTCCATCCTCATTCAGCTAAAGACGCGAGTTCAAGTAAAACAACCTAAAGTCACACAAACACAAAGCAGGTGTGGAGATGTTCGCTTGTCCCAACGTCCATGAAGCTCCCACAGTTTAGTCTTCACTTCCTCACCAGCGAAGTGACCTGGACCCAAACAAAGTGAGCCAGAACCTGCAGACACCTCAGAAACATGTCAGGACCAGACCTGCTCTACCTTCCTCCACTATGGTCTCTCCTTTCTGGGTGACAGCCTTGATGCGAAGTTCATGACCTGTGATCTCAGCCTGCAGAGCCTGGTGCTTCTTCAGCAGGTTCAGGACACCAATCAGGTCCTTCCCTGATGACACATGTTAGAGTTCAGCATTATGCAGTAGACAGACCAGTTTAACCCAGGGGTTTCTTTCTTCTACAATCTGCTCTTTAACTGTATTATTTCCTTCTATTTCAGCTGTTAACTTTATTTTCTCTGTAAGTGTTTTTCTCCCCAGAAGAAGCTACAACGATGTTCTGCTGAGCTGTGGTGGCCTCATGGAGGGGGCCATCGTCTAGCACACTGCTGCTAACCACTTAATCATTCTCCCTCTCCTGATAATAACATTTTACTTTCTTTGATGTTGGATGTGGTGCTACTAGTTTCCCCGTTTAATTATAGATTCACTAGGATAAATACAATAAAGTTTATCTCTCGCCAAATAGAATATTTACTAAGAAATCACAATGTAACGTGTGTGTGTGTGTGTGTGTGTGTGTGTGTGTGTGTGTGTGTGTGTGTGTGTAAAAGCCATGTGTAGTGTTTATTTATAAAGCATATGTTGCTGGATTTTATCCAGAATCGAGACTTTGAAAATATATAGTTTAATTGCAGTTTGAGTAATTTGACATCTGTATAATGTTTATTATTTTGTTTTTTCCCCCTAAATACCTAACGTTTGAGTTTAACATGAATATCACAGGGTATATACAGCAATCCTTAAGTAAAATTTACTACTTTTTAATACTTTTTTTACTACCTTCAGAATTTTTTTTAAAACCATCACAACACTAAATTGCAAGTGTTAATCAGCGACCTATTTACACATATTTTAACATATATAACATACAAAAAGAATAGACTTAGAGACTCACTGATGTTGACAACGTATTGCACATATTTATTTTACTTAGAAAATAAGCCAGGCACTTCTGTTCAGCGGTTCAGACAGTTGACCACGAGGCCTGAAATGATGCACAACAACCACTGAATATGACATCATCATTATGTGACCGGATATGCTAAAGTAGAGCTGCTCGATTATGGCAAAAACAATAATCACGATTATTGTGACTGAAATTGAGATCTCGATTATTTAAGACGATTTTTCAATTTATGTAAATTTTTATTTTTTTATTTTTATTCAGTCATAAAACTGCTCAGGGCACAATCAGGGCAAAAATAAACAAGAACCAAGATGATCACTAAAATAACTCCTGATTCCCAGTATAAAAAGACTAATATACTTATAGCTCATAGTTTATGACCCAAGGGCTATAAACCTTGGTTTAACTCATTTAAGTCTAACCAGTACAGACCCAAATACCAATATCTTGCAAATACTGACAGCAAGAATTATACAGTGGCATTTATAACAAATACATGCAAATTGCTGTTCACTAAATGTTGCATAGCATTTATTGAGTCGTGTCAAGGTGCTGTAGGAGAGTGCACTAGCACCATGTCCTCAGAGAGATTAGTTATTATTTATCAGCGTGAGGAATTTATTTCTACCTTATTTATAAACTATTTATTTACAAGTCCATCAGTTAATGTAATAAATGTCCCAACCACAGCTGCACCCCCACCCCCCAACCCGGTCTCACAGCAATCGGGGCAAGCTGCACGTGTGTTTAGCACGCCGCACGCGCACATTTAGCAGTTTTTATCGGCTCAGGAGTCCGCAGGTGCGGTGTGTGTGTCACTCACTCTGGTCACTCCATCAGGGAGCCGACTCTGAGAGCTGTTTCTTTAGCGACTGACACATCACTACATCATTCCCTTTCCTAATGTCCTGAAGAACGGTCCGGAGTGCAGACGGAGTGTTTAGCTAACCTGCAGGAAATGTCGACGACAGTTATCCAGAAAGTAGCTAAGGGTTACCAGAGATGTTTCTGAGGTGTTCGCTAGCAGGGCTGGACTGGGACAAAAATTCAGCCCGGGCATTTTGACTGGAGACCGGCCCATCACCTGTTTTTTTTGGAAAAGACATTAAGCCTTATGCTGTTTCTGACACACACCAACGTACACTTTCTTATTGGTAGTATTTATGTATCAATCTAATAAACGTAAACCTACACCATCCTTCCTATCCTGGTATTCTAAAAAGTAGGGTTGGGGGTAACTGATTATTTTTAAAATGATTATTCTGATGATTATTTTATCGAATAGTCGACTATTCTAATGACTATTTAGATGATTAATCTAGCGATTACTTTTCTATTGCACAATTAATAAAAACCAAAAAATTCTCAAATAAATTCCTCCAAAAAATTGATAAGTTGTTACTGTAAGAGAATAAACACTACAGGCCTTCCATTTTGTATAACACTGCTTTTATTGTGTTGAGGTTGGTTATGTTCTGGTGACGTGTAGAACTTGGGAGTGCAGGCTGCTGCCTGAGAGGTGGTTGGAGACGGAGTGTCTCCATGCTGCTTTGTTTTGTTCACTTATGTGCATGAGGCAAGTGGTGTTACGACCCTTCCTGGGGAGTCACGTGTTTCTCCTATTTTAACTGTAAATCCTTCTAGCTGTTATATTTATAACAAGAAACAGATATTCGGACAGAATATTTTCACGTTTATTCGAATATGATTGTGGAACACACCCAGCATCATAATACATGAAGTAATATTTATGCCAATTTAAGCCAAAAAAACAGACACCGGCCCATAAAAGATGAAAGGGTCGGCCCAGCGGGCAGTTGCCCGCTATGCCCTATGGTCAGTCCAGCACTGTTCGCTAGGTACTTTTAAGATTTAAAAAGTCAAGAAGCGGGTCTGAGAAGCTGTTAGAAATAGCGTCAAAGTCGCTAAGTTAACTTGGCAACACTGGGAGCAGTGCTGGACTGACCATAGGGCATAGCGGGCAACTGCCCGCTGGGCCGACCCTTTCATCTTTTATGGGCCGGTGTCTGGTTTTTTTTTTTTTTTTTCCTGGCCTCTAGTTGTTGCGGACAACTTGCCCGCGCCGCCCCACGCGACGCCTCGTAAAAGTTGGTGGATTGGCCAATTGGTAATAATACACTCTGGGCTGGACCAATAGCCAGAGGTCTGATGCACCCGCCAGTTGTTTGTGAATCTCAGTAAACAGACAGACGAGCTTAACAAAATGGAGAACAAAAAACGGAAAGGAGAAGCGGAGAAAATTCGACTAAAAAAGAAACTGGCCCTTCAGGCTGATGCTGGCACATGTGTTAAAATCTCACAGTTGTTTGGTAGTGAAGGTTCAAGTAAAATCAATTTAGGAAGTGATGGAGCCTCAGCCCAGCGACAGGTTGGAGAAGAAAAGAGGGAGGAGGAGGAGAAACCCGAGCCGGTGTTGTGCCATTAATCGACTCGCTGCCAAAAAATGATTAGCCACCGCGGGATCGCGCACGGTTAGGCAATTGCATTTCTAGACAAAATTCCCCAGGATTTCGCCCTAAAACTCAGCATATCTAGCAATATGGACATTCAGAAAGCAAAGATAACCTCTTCCGGGACTTAAACAGATGTTTATCGCGGATATTAGTGTGGCAGTGTTTGTGGCACCCTGCGCGGGAGCACGAGGACGTGCTTGTGGAAAGAGGGAGGAAGATGTGGCAGTGTGAGCATCCACAATGTCCCGATAGATTATGCGCCCTGGCTGCTTGGCTAAGGAGATGTCCCTTTTGCTGACTGGTTAGAGCGTGTGACTTTCACCCGGGAGTCTGGGGATTGAATCCTGCCTGGGCACTCCTTTCTGCACCTTGCCACATTAGTTTTTCCAGTTCGGAAGTTGTTTTAAGTGTTGCTATTTGTCTTAAACGTTCACAATGAGGATATATTAATCCTTTTTGCAATATTTGCGATTGAAAGATGGTTTGTGCCTCAAACTTTGTGGTAAGAACTGGCTTTCTTTATGTTACAGCCTTGATACTAAAAAATAAATAAACAATGTAAAATGCCACCCTGTATTGAATGTAAACGTTGTATAAATGGAAATAAACAATTCTCCAGCGATTTAATTTTTCCCCCTTCCTTTCTTTAGTCCACTTGACATGGAGCCACAGTTAACTAGTTTGGGGCACATTTTTACTTGAAAAAAAGTATTTAAAATGATCAAGCTTTGGCTTTACAATGACACTGTGTAGGTTGCTATTCATTACGTTGCTCTATTTAAAAGTAACAAGATAAAAGCACTTCAGCACATAAAATCAAGATTGTCACTTGCCAAATAGACTACACCCTCCCGTTTACCTATAAGAAATGCCTCAAAATATCTTTAAATTCTTTATTGATGATTTAATTGTAGACAACTAAAATGGCATTTTACTTGCCAAAAAGTGATTGAATCGCTAAGATTTTCATGGAGGCTAAAATTGACCAAATAAGGGTTTTATGTATTATCTGTTGACGTTACTGTACTCATACTGCCTACTGTGTCATCAAAAACACCCCAAAAATGGCAACAAAAAAAAGAAAAAAAAAGAAAGAAAGATAATTTCCCTTGCCAAAAATTGATTACAGTGTCCTGGTCACCTGTAAAGGGTTACATTTACCTAAATATTACTTTATTTATTATCTCTTGATGTTATTAGTGCCATCACAGGATGCCGGTGTCTTTCACATTCATAAACACCTCAAAAATGGCAACAAATGATCATTTCCCTTGCCAAAAATTGATTACAGTGTCCTGGTCACGTGTAAAGGGTTAAATTGACCTAAATATTACCTTATTTATTATCTCTTGATGTTATTAGTGCCATCACAGGATGCTGGGTGTCTTCCACATTCATAAACACAGAGTCCTGGTCACCCATAAAGGCTTAAATTGGCATAAATATTACTTCATGTATTATGATGCTGGGTGTGTTCCACAATCATATTCGAATAAACGTGAAAATATTCTGTCCGAATATCTGTTTCTTGTTAAAAATATAACAGCTAGAAGGATTTACAGTTAAAATAGGAGAAACACGTGACTCCCCAGGAAGGGTCGTAACACCACTTGCCTCATGCACATAAGTGAACAAAACAAAGCAGCATGGAGACACTCCGTCTCCAACCACCTCTCAGGCAGCAGCCTGCACTCCCAAGTTCTACACGTCACCAGAACATAACCAACCTCAACACAATAAAAGCAGTGTTATACAAAATGGAAGGCCTGTAGTGTTTATTCTCTTACAGTAACAACTTATCAATTTTTTGGAGGAATTTATTTGAGAATTTTTTGGTTTTTATTAATTGTGCAATAGAAAAGTAATCGCTAGATTAATCATCTAAATAGTCATTAGAATAGTCGACTATTCGATAAAATAATCGTCAGAATAATCATTTTAAAAATAATCAGTTACCCCCAACCCTACTTTTTAGAATACCAGGATAGGAAGGATGGTGTAGGTTTACGTTTATTAGATTGATACATAAATACTACCAATAAGAAAGTGTACGTTGGTGTGTGTCAGAAACAGCATAAGGCTTAATGTCTTTTCCAAAAAAAACAGGTGATGGGCCGGTCTCCAGTCAAAATGCCCGGGCTGAATTTTTGTCCCAGTCCAGCCCTGACTGGGAGGAGCGCTTCATTTGCAACTCAAGGCAGCGCAAGTGGGAGGAGCAAATAATCGGCTTGTTTTGTTTTTATAATCGTTCAAAACATTTCATTCGGAATATATTTCTATGTCGATGTTCAGAATACAACATCTGATAGTCTGAAAAAAATAATACCTAATTTGGAAAAAAATAATACCTCTGAGACCAAATTTAACACTTTTAATGGCCTTAAATTTGACTATTTTTATTTATCACTTTTTAATACTTTTTAAAACCCCGCGGACACCCTGTATCAGTCATTCATCCCAATACGTGAAGTTACACATTTTAAATTTTAATAGGGGAAGACTGCATCAGGGAGCAGTAAAATACAGGGGGTCCCCTGCAAAAACTAACTTTACGAGTCTGATGAAACTTGCTGGTATTCCCGCTGCTTCTTCGGTAAACAGCGCCAACAAAAACAAAGAAACTTGGGATCTTGTTGGCGTGGCGGTGGGATTTAAGGGAAACGCTGTATGCCCTATAGACTTCTCAACGAGCTGCAGTATTTCTCCGGTCAGATCTGTCTCCGAGTTCCACGAGCGGTCAGCCCGCAGCAGCGAGGCGCCGCATCGGTCAGCCTGACCGCTGGGGATTACCGGATGAAAGAATGGAGCACAGAAGTGTCCCCCCAAGCGGCGCGCCCTGTCATCTTTCAACCCATTTTTATCTTAAATGCACTGGGTTTTACCCTATTACCCATCTAAATATGCCCTATTAATTATTTTACCGTATTTTACATTTAAATTTCATGATTAAACAGTACATGCTACATGTTAAACTGATAGTTAGCTAGCTACTTCGGTAAACTCAGCTAGTTTAAAGGCAGCAGTGACATAAAATACAAATATATATTTTAACTTACCGAAAAAAATGAAGTGGAGACTCCTTGGACGCTCTATTAGTGCAATTAATACCACAGCAAGTCATTTTGTCCAACAATTGCCCCAATATTATCCAAAACAGAATTCACAAGCACAGAGACTCAAAATCCCGACACAGTTTCCAGGAGAGACCGAGGCTGTACTGAGGCCTTTCCACGGAGCTAGCTATGTGGTCACGTGGGTCTGAGGCGGCGGTCACGTGGGTCGGATGCTCATTAATTATACAGAATTTTAGGCTTTCAATACACTTAAACAGAAGAGTGAGAAAAAAATTCACCCCCCTCAGAGTTGTCATGAGTATAAACTAGATAATTTAGACAAAAAACATGTTCTGGTACCAGGCTGTAAACATGTTTATTTCTGCTGTGAAAATAGCATTTTTAACATGGGAGTCAATGAGGATTCGCTCGCTTCTGTTACCAGCCCCCAGCGGATGAGGGTGGAACTGCAATTTTTCTTACTTCCGGGTTGGAACCATTTTCTGAGCGGCATTGTGGGGGCTTGCTTCAGACACGTCGACTTCAGAGACGACTTCGGACACGTCGACTTCAGAGACGACTTCGGACACGTCGACTTCGGAGACGACTTCGGACACGTCGACTTCAGAGGAGACGGCTTCAGACACGTCGACTTCACAGGAGACGGCTTCAGACACGTCGACTTCAGAGGAGACGGCTTCAGACACGTCGACTTCAGAGGAGACGGCTTCAGACACGTCGACTTCAGAGGAGACGACCCCAGACACGCCGACCTCAGAGGAGACGACCTCAGACACGTCGACTTCAGAGGAGGCGACCTCAGACTCGTCGACCTCAGAGGAGACGACCTCAGACACGTCGACTTCAGAGGAGGCGACCTCAGACTCGTCGACCTCAGAGGAGGCGTCGACTTCAGGCGAGACGTCGACTTCAGCGGAGACGTCGACTTCAGGGGAGACGTCGACTTCAGGCGAGACGTCGACCTCAGGGGAGACGTTAACCTCAGAGGAGACGTTAACCTCAGAGGAGACGTCGACTTCAGACGAGGCGTCGGCTTCTGGCCCGGAGGCGTCGACTTCTGAACAGGGTGAGGCATCGACCCCTGGACTGGAGGCGTCGACCCCTAGACTGGAGGCGTCGACCCTTGGCTTGGAGGCGTCGACCCTTGGCTTGGAGGCGTCGACTCTTGGCTTGGAGTCGTCGACCCTTGGACTGGAGGCGTCGACCCTTGGACTGGAGGCGTCAACCCTTGGACTGGAGGCGTCAACCCTTGGACTGGAGGCATCGACCCTTTGACTGGAGGAGGTGTCGACTTCCATCTGCTTCTGGTCCTCCGGCTTCTGGACCGCCGGTCTCTGAGCCGCCGGCTTCTGGGCTGGTACCGTCTGCTTCTGGGCTGGTACCGTCTGCTTCTGGGCTGGTACCGTCAGCTTCTGGGCGGGAACTGTCTGCTTCTGGGCCTGCACCGTCTGCTTCTGGGCCCGCACCGTTTGCTTCTGGGCCCGCACCGTCTGCATCTGGGCCCGCACCGTCTGCTTCTGGGCCCGCACCGTCTGCTTCTGGGCCGGAACTGTTGACGTCTGGAGTGGAGGTGAAGCCGCTGCAGGAGGGGCCGTCTGGCAGCGCTGTTGCTAGCTATTTTGGTGCCCTAAGCACAAAGGCTTTGTGGTGCTCCCCCCCCCCCCCCCCCCACACACACACACACATACAGAAAAAACAACACAATAACACAGTATGTGCAAGCGCTTCACCTTAAATTTTCTTTAATTCTCTTGTATGCACAAACTGCTTATTATTTTCCAAAAAGTAGGATTGATATTTAGTGTGTGTGTGTGTGTGGGGGGGGGGGGGGGGGGGGGGGGTCATTTTGCCTTGGCCCCCAAAATGTCTTGAAACGGCCCTGGGTTTGTGACTGAGTTTTGAAAGTGATCTGAATTGTATCAGATGTATAAATATTGCATGTGTGTAACTTATTGTTTTATACAGGTAGAAAGGTGTAGTGTAGTAATCTACATTTTACTTTTCAACACTTTGTTTTGTTTTCTTGTTTTTATTGAACTATTTTCCTGTCCTGTCTGTCTCTCATCTTCCTGCATCTCCTCTAAACTCTCCAGAAAATCTGCTGCCTGGATTCTTACTTTTTCACCTCATCAGTTACTTCTGAGCAGATCAAAGGGATCTCCTGACCGCAAAGCGGAGTGCGCGATTCGATGCTTTGTCAGTGAGGTGAAATCACTGCAGTGCAGGTGATGAGCTCTGCAGTAGCGGAGCACCAGGCACAAATAAGACAGAAAGTGGAGAACATGAGCGGACATGAACGATCGTGTGCTAATTATAGTTTTTTTGGTTGCGCCACTTTGAGAATGGACCGTGCGCTGGAAGCAGCTGCCTGGATCGCTGCGCAATAACGCGCTGTGCCGCTCTCTGTGCTCTCTGCTCAGACGAGTCCATAAATGATGTAATATAGGTAGAAAACTTTTTTCCGGCTCCCCTGGATGTGTAGGACATACAACTCCCCCATAATTCGATCCCTGCTCCTGGATGAAAAGCCGGACATTTTCATCAATAAGAACCCCCAGTCCGGACGTCCCGGACAGAGTGAAAAGTGGACACGGTCCATCTCCTTTCCTTTTTGTATTGTTTTCTCTCTGTAAACATGCTGTTATCTTGCTTTGCACATCTTCTAATTGAAATCTGTCTTCATCATATATATATTATTTTTCATAAGCTTGCGTTTGGTGCCCCTTCCCCGGCGTGGTGCCCTACGCGCTGTGCGTGGTGTGCGGAGCGCCGGCGCTGCCGTCTGGACAGGCGGGACCAGCTGCGGTGCGTTCACCGGGACCCCCGCTGGAACAGGCATTGAGTGAACGGGTGGTGCTGGAGACAGGGAGCGCAGAGCGTCCAGTAGGAGCTGATTAGAACTGGCGATCTGTTGAAGCTGGACCAGCTCAGCCCGGAGACTGGCAAGTTCAGTCGGCTGGGTTGTGGGCGTTGCTCCTCCTCCTGCAGATGACGGAGGAGCCGGCGGGACAGCTGGTCCGACCGGGGGCGGGTCCAAGCTGCTGCGTCCAGCCGGGGCAGTGGCGAGCAGATCGTCCAGCTGGAGCTGATTAGAACTGGCGATCTGACGAATCTGGACCAACTCAGCTCGGAGACTGGCGAGCCCAGTCAGCTGGGCTGCAGGTGCAGCTCCTCCACCTGCAGGCGACAACTGTTTATTCCTGAGAGCTCTTTGGACCAGTGCTGCCCTGGTGGAGGCCCAGGGGCGTCTGGCACTGCGGAGGAATTGAGGTACGGAGGAAATAAAGGTTTGCTGGGGAAAAAGCGAAGGTTGGTATCCGAGAGACGACTCAAAAGGTGACTGACCTGTGGCGGAGGATATATGGCTATTGTGCGCATATTCAACCCAAGGAAGGTGAGTACTCCAGGAGGATGGATGAGGCGAGCAGACACAGCGCGGCATGGCACCCAGCTCCTGGTTCATCCGCTCACACTGTCCATTGGTCTGAGGGTGATGTCCCAAGGTGAGCGCCACCTTGGCTCCTAGGGCCTCCGCAAAATCCTTCCACACCCTGCAGACAAATTCGGCCCATGGTCGGACAGGATTTCCTCTGGGATGCCATGGACATGGAGGATGTGCTTTACCAGGAGCTGCGCTCAGAGCCGGATTAAATAAATGGACTACACTAGGCAGGCTGCATTTTTTGCGCCCCCCCCCCCCCCCCCCCCCCCATTCTACCAGACTATTTTTTGATATTAATAATTTATACGTCGTGTCAATGTTAAGGCAGTAGTACCAGTAAATAACCAAGGTGTCATTAAACTATGTGAACAGAGCAAATATGTTTATCTTATTTGCTCTGTTTACATTTAATCAACAAATTTAATTAAAAAGATTTTCTGCTAAATACAGTAGCTTACAACATTTATAAATGCTGACAAATTAATCACATGATAGTGGAAAGACATTCAAGAAGAAATAGATGAATTTTAATGGACTGAAGCATGTTTAAAGGCGCAAAAACAAACTATAAATACGCAGCTTAAATTATTGCAGTATTAATTTAATGTCACATGTCAATGAGCACGGATAGTCCGACTATCTTGAAAATATGCCTCCAAAACAATTCCTCCGCTCCTCAATTGTTCTAACGGCATAGTCTTTTTCTCCCGGACAGGAACTCCGTCATATTACCGAAATGTATCGTACACCTCTGAAAAGCGTGGAGTACCACCTTTCTGAAGCCATTGGAATTACGAAGATTGCGCAAATGTTTGAACAGTTACGGTAGTAAACATTTGTGTGTGGGCTCCGGTGAAGTAGACGATCACCCTTGACGAATATCTTTTGAAAGCTACATGGACGTTCATTTGGCTGAAGTGTGTATGATGTACTTTAAATGTATCTTTGAATAGTAAGGTGAGAAATGTTAAGAAATTTTAAAATTGTCTCATGGGATGTATATGAAATGTGTATTCTAATTCTTTAATATTGATACTCGCTTTTGAGTAAACATGAGTTGAACATGAGCTACTCTTATTTTGGTGAATTTAATATACTGTAATACTGAAAACACTTGCTACTATTCAACACAAATACTTCCATCCACTTCAAAATGAAAAAAATGTGTTAGGATTTCTATGCGTAGGCTACATTAAGTGATATCCCATAAAAATGAAAGACCTTTACCCAACATTTTTGTAGAGAAGATGACATAAAACATTAAACAACTGTACTTGATAATTAAAATGCCGTCTTGCAATCTGCTATTATTGTAGAATAATCTAGAACAGGTTTGAACAGTGTGGCTGTTGTAGTTTTTGAGCTACAGCTGTTCCATCATTGGCCAGATGCTGAAAAAACACATAAATCAGGCTTTGTTGAAGTGTCACAAATCAGGGAAAGGTTTCACAAATCCCAAACAAGGTTGTATGCAATCTGCTATTATTGTAGAATAATCTAGAACAGGTTTGAACAGTGTGGCTATTATAGGTTTTGAGCTAGAGAAGATTAAAGATTGTCAGAGTACAGAAAAATTGGGTGTAATGGCCCTTTAGCAGTTTCCTGAATACTTCAGCCTCGTTGCAGCAGGCTGCTGTAAGACTATATTGGGCTCACTTCTGGCTAGCTGCTGTTCTTCCAGTTCGTCCTTCTGTGACTGCGTTGATGTTGACGGGGTTGGCGCTACAGCACCTTCCGCCAGGGCCGGCTCTAGGTAATTTGGTGCCCATGCCCCCCCCCCCCCCCCCCCTGCCCGCACGCCTCTCACCCAAACCCAAGTCCACCCACCCACCACACATTGGAAAAAGCAACTCCACAGTTATTCCTTAGTTTCTAATTTTTTATTTTAAATATTCACACAGCAGCTTTTTAAAGTCAACAGCCTGAAGAATAAATGTAAGCTTGAAAGATAAGTAACCTGAGAATATTACAATAACCAACAACTCAAAATGTTGTGCAAATGTCATTGGGGGGGATGCAAAATCAACAGCAGCATTAAACTGTGCAATCAAAAGCAAAACTCAAATATCAGTGTCATCATAAAGAAAGTTCTACTTCCCATTTTGTTCAACTACTGTGGCCAGTCAGCAGGATCCATGGGGCCAGCAGCTCATACATGTTCACAGACATCTGTTGAAGCTGATGATGATGTCTCTTCAGGCTGTTGGATTGGAGCACTGAGGCCTAGTCCACACGTAGCCGGGGTTTTTTAAAAACGAATATCCGCCCCTCCAAAAACTTGCATCCACACCACCGCGTTTTAAAAACAAACTCTGTCCACACGTACCCGGATAAATACGTTGTTAAGGACATTCCAGACCTGTAGGCGGCAGTACTTCCCCCGTTCTTAACCTCGTCCTTCGTCTGTGGTCTTCCCATAGACTGTACATACTGGACAAACAGATTCCATTGGGTCCAATAATACGTTTTTTGTCCATAATGGGAGGTGGCCACCACCGCCATTTTGACCGTGTCACAGGTTCCGTCCAGCCCAGACAATTCCATAAAAGGGAAGAGAGGAGGCGCTGAGGGTGGGGCTGTAAGGCTGGGCTCGAGTGACGACACCCAGGCGAACTTGCTACGAGCTAACCTGAAGCTAACCCTGGCTAACCCAAAGCTAAAGCGGAGGTGGGATCCGAGCTAACGGATGTAGCCACCTAGCTTCAATGCAACCGGAGCTAACTGGAACACCCAACGACCTGACCCTCACACGGAGTTTGGGTGGAGGTTTTCTGCGCCTGTTCGTGAGAAGTACCTGCATTAAAAAAGTTTTAAATCGGTAAGTTTATAATTTATTTCCGTAATGAAAACATTTTGCTTTGAGCAAGTTTTCAGTAGTGTTTTTCGGCGCTATCACTCCTGAGTCGCACCAGCCATTAAATGTATCATGAAGAAGAGAAAATATATTTAAGTCGTATTTTGGGGGGACATTTTATTATCTTTCTTACAAAATCCGAGACCAAGCGTTTCACATTGCAACACAAGCACCGGTAACCATAACAGAATGAACAGCCAGCAGAGGAGAGGATGGCGGTGTTTCAAACCCTCCCGGCCGGCGTGGAGAGCTCATTCCTGGGCTGGAGCCGGCCATCAGCACCCCGCCACAGGCTCTAACAGATGCTGGCGGTGTTTCATATATTTCCAAAACGTAATACTTGTTTGTATCTTGTACAGCCAACTAGCCTTTATTCTGGCCTCAGTACAATTCACCAAAAGTAAAGAGACATTATACAGATGAAGTAAGCACAAGATAACTTACTGGAAGAAACAGAATTATTATCATGAGAACCAGAACAAGACAGCCTGATAACAGTCATGTGAAAATAACAGTTAAAAAGTATGTATGTATAATAGAAATAAAAATATATTAGAATTAGTGTAACTCACTGTGATCCAAACAATAAATCAGCCATAGCTGATTAGTAAATATGACATGAGATCTGGGAGTTTTTAAGTTTCATTCTTTTATTACATTTTTTTCTTAGATCTGTTAAAAGGTCACCATGGCAGCCTGTGTGTCAACGTCAGCTACACAAAGCAGCAAGTGTAAGTACCAAGTACTTGTCTTGACCACTTCTTGAATGGTTTTGTACTTTAAACAGCTAGGCCAAACCTGTTATTTTTTCCTCCATAGCCATTTGGGTCATTGGAGACAGCTACGTGAGGCGTGGTGCCCAGAGAGCTGCAGAGACCGTCGGACACAACCTTGGCCTCCCTGACGTCTGTGTCTTCTGGTTTGGTTGGGGCGGACCATCGACATACATACATGTGCCGACACTTTGCGCCCTGTTTTATAAAATGTAGTGTTAAAAATGAATGTTTTTGCTCAATTACTGGAATTTCTTTGGTTAAGACAAAAGTGAGGAACACCCTAAAAAATTATTCAGGGGCTTAGTAAATTTCATTATAATTCTAAGTTAGATTACCTTGACTAAATCTTTAAAAATCACAAAAGTGTTATCTTGAGTTGAAAATACTGAAAAGAATGTTTAAAATTTCAACACCAGTTTTTCAGTTGAACTGAGCTTTTTTGTTCAAGTTTATTTAAAAGAAATAATTCTGTATTTGAATCACAGGGTGCATTATTTAAATCTACTCAACATATCTCAGATAAAGTACTCAAAATAACTGAGACACTGGTATTCATACTTATCATTGTCTTGAACTTTAATTATTAATGGTCAAAATCAATATAATTTTGTCCCCCAATACTAACATAAAACTTTGAGTAAGACTAATGACCTTTGGCATGTAACGCGCGCGAGGAGCATGGCCTCATGGGAGATTTTCTGCACGTTGAACGAGACGGACACACTCCACTGCAGGCTTGTTAACGTTTTCAGGTAAGTGACCAATTCTTACATTAGCTGTCATTATCCACACCGTTCTTTTATAACATGTTCTGAAGAAAGCGTTTGTCATGGTGGCTCACTATTCACAGCGTGTTTGTGCACGTTAATTTAAGTTTTTGACCCGTCTTCCAGTCAAGGCGGCTGGAAACCGCGCCCTTTCATCCTTTTACGTTCTGAGTCGCTGTCTGCGTTCCGGGTAATTTTACCGGAATGTCCCGGTACCAGCGACCTGACCGTTTAATCGGGGGCATTTTAGGAACCACGTGAAAGCAGGTGTGCTCAGACATTTCTAGAAAATGGCCCTGCTGAGTCGCGGTGCAGGAGCTGCGGTAGTCACGCGGCCTGACTCACTCTGTCAGGTTGTTCAGGAGGAGATGAACAGACGTCATCAATGGCTTTGGTAACTAAGAAGACCTGCCCGCGGAACAGTTCATAGCAGCAACCATGCTGCTTAGCTTTCTTGTTCTATGTGGGGTCTTTTAGAGCATATAAGACGCTGCTTTCAACTTTGTCCCGAACAGGGTCAGTTTTTGAGAGAACGCTGAGAGGACCGCGGGTCAGCAGATTACCTCATCCAGGGCCGGTCCTAAGTACTATGGGGCCTTAAGTAAATTTAGACTCGGGGCCCTACTTCTTTTCAGATCCCAGAAAGTAATGAAAAAAAAAAGCTTTGGTCCTTTGGGTCAAGACAAAAGTACCATCATTTCCAGTATAGTTACTCCCAATTTACATCAATACATGTTTATTTCAATCCAAGCTAAAATTTCTTATAAGAGATTGATGTTATGGCAGATTCTCAGTGACATGTTTTGTAATGATAAAGTTTTGATTTGTATATTTTCAGCCTCATCTTCACCACCAGGAGAAAAAAATCTGCATCAACTACAAAGTAAAGCAGGTAATTTTACTCGGAGGACTTGATGTGTTAAATTTTGGAATTATATGATATTGTTTTATACAAGCTGAGTAGTGGATGTTGATACCACCTAAATATTTATACTGGTTTTGTGGTGGGTTATTTTAGTCATACAAATGCCAAATCTAAATTTTGAGAATTTTTCAGTTCGGTAAATATATTGATGAGTTCATGGTCTGTCATCTAGTGTCACTATCTTTTTATTTATACAGCGTGGTGATGTGATTCAGATTATTTCATTGTACTTTGTTCCATGTTGACTTATTTGTAAGTTGTATCCTCCACCTGAATTGGTAGTGAGTATTGGTTATTCAATCAGTTAATCATACAAAAACTGTGTAAATATGGTTATACACCATTCTGTCATCTTCATACTGTGAGACATATTTTCTCACAATTTTTTAGGTCACGGGTGATGAGATGGCAGTGTAAACTCTGCAAACATGAGGAGTCATCAAAAGTGTCACTACTCAAACATTATCGAGTGAAACATGGTACATTTGGTCATGGCTATTCCATACCCTGTCTTCATTTGAATTGTCCTTGCTCTTTTAAGACATGGGGTGCCTTACGCTCACACTTGTCTAGGTCTCACAGTTCGCATGAAACAGAAGAGTGTGAGGTCCTTCCAACTATTAGATGTAAACTCTGTGACTCTTTTTACCCAAACACAAAAGACTATTTTCAACATCTAAATTCCCATTTGAAAAGCCATGAAACCATAGAGTGTGTTTTTGATGGTTGTGAGTTTAAGACAAACATTTGTGGGACTTATGCAACTCACAGAAGTCGAAAGCACAGATTTTGTTCATGGAAGCACTTTAAAACTAACTTGATTTCAAAGCAAACTGTCAGCACATCTAATGAAATATTCTTACCAGCACTGGAATTAGAAGATCAGGAGGACTTGGATGTCACTATTGAACTTGGTTGTGAAAGGGAAACAACAAATGAAATTTTGAAAAATATTGGTGTGCTCTTGTTAAAACTGGAAAGCATCTATAATGTTTCTGGTAAATGTGTGGATGACTTGGTGGAACAGCTCAATTATATCTGCACATTATCACTTCAGTATATTCCAAAGTCAATAAGTGATATTCTTATTAAGAATAACTGTAATATTGATCAGTCTTTTGTCAGTGAATTGGCTGAAAAAATATGTCACTGTAGTCCTTTATGTGCAGCCCTTAGTCCTGATGGTCCCTTTGCTTCAAGATATAAGAGACAGAAATATTTCAAGGAAAACTTCTGTGTTATTGAACCAGTAGAATACTGTTTGGATCCAGAAAAGAATTCCACTTTCCAGTATGTGCCTATTCTTCAGTCCTTGCAGCTGTTACTGAGTAAAGAAGATGTTAACAGGATATTAACTAGACATTTGAACACTTCACAGTTATCATCTTTCCACGATGGACAATATTTCAAGCAAAACCAACTTTGTGCTATTGAGGACTTAAGTATTTCCCTTGTTCTCTATGTGGATGACTTTGAAATTTGTAATCCACTTGGGACTTCAAGAAAAAAACACAAAGTCACAGCTGTGTACTGGGTACTTGCTGATATACCAACTGAACTGAGATCACAGCTAACATCAATTCAATTGGCTCTCCTGTGTAAGGCAAGTGATGTTAAAACTTTTAGCTATGAAACTGTTCTCGAGCCACTTTTAAAGGATCTCATAACATTAGAGAGAGACGGGATTTTTTGTTCACAGCTTGGTAGATATATCAGGGGCACTGTTTTTTGTGTTTGTGCTGACAATCTTGGCGCTCATTCTCTTAGTGGACTCGTGGAAAGCTTTTCTGGACATTACATCTGTAGATTTTGCCTTGGAGACCATTCAGACTTTCAGCAAAAAGAAGTTCGTTCAGGAGCTTTTCCACCAAGAACGAAAGAGAACTATGATCTACATGTCCAAACCATAAAGGAAAATTCCTCCTCGGTTCATTGTTGTGGTGTGAAGAAAGGTTGTCCATTAACAGGGAAATTAAAATATTTCCATTTTGTCACAGGGTATCCTCCAGATCTTTTGCACAACCTTTTTGAAGGCATAATTCCACTAGAATTAGCATTATGCCTTCATGTGTTTATCCGTAAACGTTACTTTTCCTTAACTGAACTCAATAAGTTCATAACAGAATTTCCTTACAAATGGACCGATAAAACAGATCGCCTCCAAATCATCCCCCTGAATTTTTCCACTCGCAAAAGCATTGGTGGCAACGCACATGAAAATTGGACGTTATTGAGACTATTACCCTTTATTATTGGGGAAAAGATTCCCAAAAATGATGAAGCATGGCAAGTTCTTATGACTCTAAAAGATATAACTGAACTTGTTGTGTCCCCTATTCACAGAGAGGAAAGTATTTGCTACTTGGACACACTTATATCTGAACATCGCAACAGGCTATTGGAGGTTTTCCCAGAGCAAAAACTAACTCCAAAACACCATTTTTTGGAGCATTATCCTGACTTGATCAGAGGATTTGGTCCATTAGTAGGCCTCTGGACTATGCGCTTTGAGGCTAAACATAGTTTCTTTAAGAAGGTTGTTAAACACACAAACAGCTTCAGAAATGTACTATTGTCACTTGCCTCAAAGCACCAGATGATGATGGCATACTATTCAGATGGTAATGCATTGAAGCCATCAGTGTGTGTCACTAAAGTATCATCTCTTCCATTGGAACTGCTTGATGTAGAAATACAGCAGTGCCTCAAGGAAGTTTATCCAACACAAGCCTATGTGAATTTGACCAACTCTCTGACTCATCATGGAACTAAATATGCCTCAGGAATGGTTTTGCCTCATGGATCTACTTGTGGCTTACCCGACTTTGTGGAGATTTTACAGATTGTTGTCTTGAGCAATGAATTTCTTTTCATTGTGAAGTTGCTCAACAGCTGGTATGATGAACATTTTAGGGCATTTATTCTGGATCCTTCTGGGAAAATGACCTTAATACATCCCAGAGTACTTGGTGACACTTACCCCTTAACACCATATTGTGTTGAAGGCAAACAAATGGTGTCAATAAAACGTCACATTGTTTGTTAGTGTAAGGGGAAAGACTCAGATACCCCCTTTCTTTTTCTTTCTTTCTTGTGTTTTTTTTTTTCTGCAGATGGACTCCTTTGCCTTGAAAGTAATTTTTGGACAACAGAGTGAGAAGCTTGTGCTCTCTTCAGGAATACCCAGGACTGTTGAGGAGTTGCATGAGACAGTGAGAGAGACATTTGGGCTAGTTGAGGATTTCACATTGCACTATTATGATGACTCATTTGGAGATTTCTTTACACTTCATTCTCCCAACCAAATCAAAGATAGGGGTACAGTCAAAGCTGTGGTCATTCCATCAGTAGTGCTTACATTGATTCCTCATTGTGAAAATCCCTCAGATGTAAGTTCATTGAATGAAAGTTCAAGCTCTTCAACCTATAAAACCACAAAGGACCAAACAGATGGATCATCTCTGTCTTCAGACAACACTGTCATACTCTCCCCTCTTCAAAGTCCTCTGAAGACTCAATGGCCAGATGAAATTGTCATACCACTTTTCTCTGTGGCAACAGAGACTGTACTGAAAAATGCCAATGAAGTCTTTGTTCAAAATGGCACTGTGCTGAAAAATACTTCAGTCAAGTCAGATATAATGGAAAAATTAGCTGATTATATGTACAGCTACACAGCCTACCCTACTGGCCTTCAGATTGGAGAAGTGGCAGAGGCTCTGGTCAAAAAGCACCCATGTCTGACAGAGGCAGGCAGTCGTAATGGCTGGATGGGATGGATGTATAGTCTTAAATACAAGATGGGAAATTACAGGTCAAAGTTACGAAGTCTTGGAGTTCCAGAGGTTACTTGCAACTCACTGAAGAACAAGCACCCTGATGACAAGGCTCCAGCGAAGAACATAAAGAAGGCGCGGAAAGGAGAAGTGCTGTTTCTGCCACACTATCCAGGACAAGATGGTAAAGAACAGCAAGAGCTGGAGCGACAACAACTGATTGATGAGTGTAAGAAGAAAGACAGCACAGCCATCAAGGATTTAATGTGCAAAACCTTTGCACATAGAAGACATGATATTATCAGCCAACAGCTGAGTGTCAGCAACATCAAGGACAGATGGCCGGCGTTGTTTGACGTCTCCCAAGTCAGTGAACATTTAAAGAGATATTCACTTGTAAATAAAATTTGGTCTGTTACATCCCCCATCATAAGTGAGGAAAAACATGTTGCTACCATCCTAGTGATTTTGATGGTCTTGCAGCAGCCAGGTTGCTTTAATTTGTCATAAGACTGTAGAATCGCTAGGAATCTGAATCAAAACCAGAATGGTTCTAATTGAAACCATTCCCAAGCCTAGGGAACAATAAATGCTAGTAATTTCCATTCACTTAACTTGTTTTAGGCTAAGCTAATGTAACCTGACTGAAGAATGACTGGGCTGATTGCAAAGTGCCTTTGTCTCACTTATCTAACTGGAGCACAAAACGACAGACTAGATTTTACTGAAGAGTGAAGAGTAATTTAATATTTTTAAACGTTGGTTGTGTATTGTAACCCCAGGCTCTGAGTATAGGCGCAGCCCTTTAAGTGGGTATTCCCCTTGTGCACGCAGCACTTAAGTAATTTAGTCCACGCCCACCTGCTGTGTGGGCCTCACCCTGGTCTAGTATAAGTTACGGTGAGACCAGGAAATCGGCTCTACTGTTTTTCTTCAGCCAGCCAGAAGATGTCCAGGGAGACCATCCGTCTGTGACCATCCTGCCAGACCGGTTACATCATGTCGTATGACCAACATGCCGTCTGCGTGGGCTGCCTCGGTCCTCACCATGCGGACCTCGCCCTCACACCTTAATCCTATTGCCGCTCCTGTTAGCTCCTCCCGCCAGAGGAAAAGCAGCGGAGGTCAGCCTTTTTCAAGGCTGATGCTGAGGAGGTGTTCCGCTAAGAGAGGTACTCGCTGGAAGAAGCCAGAGGGCAACCTGGCTCTGCCTCTTCCCTCCAAGATTATACAATGTCACAGGGAAATAGTGCAAGCAATTCATAACATAAAATTTAGAAGCTTTGTGGAAGATAATACTTTATGTTAAGGTTTTAGTCTGCATACTGAACAACTCCACTTATATGGATTTATGTCTGGATGAGTAAATTAATCGTTTGCATGTTAAAAAATAAGGTCCAGGTTGCAAAAAATGGTAGTTCCAGTTAAAGATTTTTTTTTTTTATTGAATCAGAATTTTGACCTTCAGATTTTTTGTCCTTTGTTTTTTGTCCTCTCCCATCCAGGTCAGTGCAGAGTTTCATAGGATCACGACCCTGAACCTTGAACCAAAGTTCATGTCATCGTTGGACTTGTATTCATCCAAACTCCTGTCCTTGTTTCAAGCCAAGAAAGGTGCTGCTGGACAACGCCACAGGGCACAGTTAAATCTTCTGCTTCAGGTAAGGAAGATTGCATTTTCTAACCACAAAAACGTTCCAACACAGCACTTAAGAGGCCCTCCACTAAAAACGGCTTTTCTTAGGGTTCTGTTCAATATTTTAGCTCCACAGGTGTTCTTACCTTGATGGTGGGTGTGAAAACAGGTCAACAACAGAAAAAAATAGTTATGTTTAAGCTAGAAATGGTAAGTCATGTTTTAAATGTGCAAATTTAGCCTCAGTTGAGACTTCCTGTTTTACAGAGTGGAAATTCCATCGATAAAAAACGAGAAGTCATCATCAGATGTCTCATTGACCATCTGGGAGAGGATCCAAGTGCCTTAATCAAAACCTTTGAGGTTGGTGCAATAAATCTGTTTTAGGAATATTAGTAGTTTTAGCTTGTGAGATCATAGAAAAGTTTTAAGATCAATGTTCTAAAGAAAAAAAACACTTCAAAGCATACAAAAGAATAGCATTTGCTCAAAGATTTTGGAGCACAGTGCCCACATATTATGAGTACCAGTGATGTCATACAAATGAAACTTTGTTTCAATGTTTGGAGATATGTGAGCTTAAAACAGTTGTTTCTCTTTTTAAAGGACAGTGCTGATGCTGTCTTTGTTGAAGAGGCTTTGGCTGAGGAGGTGATGAAGATTTACCTGCTGCAGAATCAAGACAGGTCAGGCGAACCTACTGATGTGGGTATTGTTATTGAAGGCGTTACTGTTCTGGGCAAACTTGGGAATCTGAGCAAAGCCTGTTGCTATCTTTTGGGACTGTGCTATGCTCTGGATCTGAAATATCCCAAGAATCTCAAATGCACATTTGAAGCATTTCAAAAAGTGTTCATGGAGCTGGATACAGGAAACCTTTCTGTCAAGGTTCAAAGACTGAAAAATGACCTCTGTTCATTGTAGACAAAATTTCACAGGGCTGTTCTTAAAGTGTTAGACTTGTTAAGTGACATGTAATGCTCATCAAAAGGTTCAGTTGTGGCATTACATAGTGTTGGCATTCCTGTTCATAAATAATGTTTGTACCCTAAACTGTTTTGTACTAACTTTCCAGATTCACATTAAGGTGTAAATGGGAGAGTATCTTCTGTATGTTTTTTTTTCTTTGTTTTTTTAGCGCAATCCTTTTTGAAACCTTTTTATTTAAATTATGGATTTTTTTGGTCACTCTTTAGTTATAATCTTCCCAATTTTTTGGAATCAAAATAAGATGTTCAAAAACTGTCAGTGCAAATGTTTTTTTTTCAGGATTTATATTTTTTTTGGGGGATCTTAATTTTATGTTTGTCATTTGACCTTTTCTGAAAAGGTAAAGCACTGCATTCACTTGAGCCACTTTTATTCTTAGTATTGCAGGTACATTTTTCTTGTTGTTAGCATCAATATGCCAGTTTTACAGTTTATCAAGCATGACAATTTGGATGCAATTTTATTATATAAGACTGTTGTGACTGAAATTTTATCCAAGTTTTATCCACTGAATGTAGAACAGATTTTAGCTCATTGTGTTCAGAGAAGGAATCTGCTAAATGTGTGATTCACAAAAAAGCTGGTTAAAATAAATCATTGTGAACAATGTTGAACTGACGTGGTTCTTTTTTCCTGTGTGTGTGTGTGTGTGTGTGTGTGTATAAACATTTAATTCTAATTAACGTTTTTGCTTAAGTTAACTTTAAAATATTAAGTAAATTGAACCATTATTTAAAAACAAGTCACTGTAATGGTGTAGGTTATAAGTGCCAAGCATTTCAGCTTTTCCTAATTAATATTTTATGTAGTTTGAACTTTTGGTTACTGTTGTTTTAACGTACATTTTCAATTGTATTTACTCAATTTTGAATGTTACTGTAACATCTTTAATTGTTCATAACAACTTATTCCATTTTAGTTGGATTTAATCTATTAATAAGGTGTATTTAAGAGATGTGATTGTTTTTGCATTTACTTATTATTTTTGAGTGTAAAAGTGTTGCACCAAAATATTTAAGTAATTATCAGTTTTAGTTCTTACAGTGAATAATCATTTACAAGTTATTTGTACAACAGGCCCATTTTAAATCCCAACAGTTTCTTAGCAGACAATAGAAATGTGTTCTTTACTAACTTTACTTGGTTTGAAAATCTTACTAAAATAAACTTGAGTGCCGTATTGCAAAACCCAATCATACTTGTTATGTAAACATTAGCTTTGTAGATATTTTTTACAGATATATATTTGTGTGCAACAAAAACCAAACTTAAATAATTTGTCATTCTTTATTGAAAAACAACAAAATACAGGTATACAGAAGTGTGGGAAAATGATTATGTGAAAGTATTGCACTATAAATGAAGTGAGATGAGATGAAGGTGAGATGAAGGTGGACGCCAGCGGGCTGGACGCCGGACGAGGAAACCTGGAGACGGATCGCTCAGACAGGAAGGGAAGAGCTTCCTCTTACCTTGATGGAATCAAAGTTAGCCGTCGTCTGAACGCCCAACCGTACGGTCTGAGGTCAAAGGTCACAGGAAACACACCAGTCAGCAGTCATACAGCTGCATAAAGATAACTGTAGCCATGGCAACCAGCTGACATGTCCCCACTTTCACCAGCACCTGGTGCCTGCCAGGTCACCTGAATTCCTGTGTGATGTCAGCACGGTCGGCCGTGACTGCTGCCATCAGAGGTGACCTCTGATCAGCTGAATGAACTCATCTTCCAGGGTGACGCCGTGTTAGAGTCGGCTTCATCCTGTAAACAAACAAACAAACAAATGAGTGGTAACAAAAACACCACGTCTGGTTCTGGTGGAGGCAGAGGACAACATGCACCTTTCCAGGAGCAGAACCCAGATGTTCTTGTTGCTACAAACAGAGACGAGCAGAGTTAAATCAGGAAGTGAGAGGGACCAGCTGCTGCAGACAAGTGACGCTCACCTGAGCCTGAACCATAGGAGCCTCCTCAGCCATCAGACCTTCTGACTCCAGTTCAGATGCCACCTTGTTGATGTCCCTCAGGCGGGACTCGTTGGCCTTCAGGTCCTGCAGGACAAAAGCACCTGCTGATTACCTTGTTGCTGTCGGGTTAACAGGTCTGGTGTTAGAACGTGGTGGATAAGAATGTTCTGACGGGCCGAGGGTTCTGAACTCACCCTGCAGGACTGGGCCTGCTCCTTCAGGGCCTGGATGCTGCTGCCGTAAGCCGACAGGTCCGACATCAGGGCCTCGTGCTTCTTCAGGAGAGCCTGTGGAGCAGAACATCAGAACCTTCAGCTCGTCTGACACAAGTGGAGCTTTCTCGCAGCGATGGTCCAATCGGATCAGCCACCGTAAAACAAACCCTGCTCAGTTCACCGCAGACGCAGCTCTGCGGGTGTTTAGTGGAAAAGCGTGAGCCTTCTGCCGGCTGCCACGTGTCATGGCTGCTCTGCAGCGGGAACACACATCACAGCTTGTAAACCGTTTGAAATAAGAGCGACGGGAACACGTTTGTCATCACTTCCTGTGCGAGGCCAGCACTTCTACCCCTAACCCATGAGACGCTCAAACGAGCAACGACGTCTGGTAGACAACCGAAGGAAATGACAAATACAGAAACACTAATTATGAAGGACTGGAAAGAGAGCAAAGAAAAGCGATTGGAGTTTCTCAGGAAGGGACTTCCATACCTCGGCCAAGTCCTCGTCTTTCCCTTAGTCTGGACTTCCAACGATGGGCTCCTTCTCCCTCATCCAGGACTCGGCCTCATTAGCATCCGCAAAGTACTGCTGGGCCTGCAGAGAGTCCTCCAGGTCCTGCCTCCTCTGGGACACCTTGGCCTTCAGCGTGTCCCAACGTCCATGAAGCTCCCACAGTTTAGTCTTCACTTCCTCACCAGCGAAGTGACCTGGACCCAAAAAAAGTGAGCCAGAACCTGCAGACACCTCAGAAACATGTCAGGACCAGACCTGCTCTACCCTCCTCCACCATGGTCTCTCCTTTCTGGGTGACAGCCTTGATGCGAGGTTCGTGACCTGTGATCTCAGCCTGCAGAGCCTGGTGCTTCTTCAGCAGGTTCTGGACACCAATCAGGTCCTTCCCTGAGGACACATGTTAGAGTTCAGCATTATGCAGTAGACAGACCAGTTTAACCCAGGGGTTTCTTTCTTCTACAATCTGCTCTTTAACTGTATTATTTCCTGCTATTTCAGCTGTTAACTTTATTTTTTCTCTAAGTGTTTTTCTCCCCAGAAGAAGCTACAATAGTGTTCTGCCTAGCTGTGGTGGTGGCCTCATGGAGGGGGCCATCGGCTAGCACACTGCTGCTAACCACTTAAACATTCTCCCTCTCCTGATAATAACATTTTACTTTCTTTGATGTTGGATGTGGTGCTACTAGTTTACCCGTTTAATTATAGATTCACTAGGATAAATACAATAAAGTTTATCTCTCGCCAAATAGAATATTTACTGTGGCAAGCCCATGAAGAGGTGTAGGAGAATGCGACAAATTTGTCTGTTAAAAAGTCTGTTATGTACAAAAAACACAATATCATCACACTATTTTGGACCGATACATGACAGGATACCACAGAACAGCTCTCCGCCCTCTGCTGTCCGGTCCGGGAATTGCTTTGCAACACTCCCCAGGAGACGGAGAAGTATGAGAGCTAAACGTCCCCGTCCGTGCGTGCGTGTCTCTCCCTGTTGGAGCTGACATAGAAGCATGAATCAGGCTTTATTGTAGCTGTCAATTGTTGCTTGATAAGCAGAAACTGTCACCTTCAAAACACCTCCTCTGCACAGGTGTTTCTTTGTAATTAGGAACAGGAATAAAGTTATAGAGGTCAGCAGGTAAAAAATCAGCTTAAATTAATTTCACCATTAGAACAAGGATGTTGTGTAGGCGTGAGATCACCAAAGATGATAGGGTCTTTTAAATCTTACTTTCTGATAAGCTGATGACGTTCAAAACTTACCTTGTCATTCCTACTTACCTGTTCTTCCCTTCTTGGAACAGGTTTTTTGACCTTAAAGGACGAGAAGATTGTAGGTACGGCTGTGTCCTTCAGGCAAACTCTCCCCTAAAATAAAAAAACATAATTACTTAATTAAAAAAAAAGAGATTCACATACACACACATCAGACAAGGTCAGCTTCTGAAGAACACACTGGTACACCAGAGCACTGTGTGTGTGAGTGAATGTGCTTGCATGTGTGTGTGTGTGTGTGTGTGTGTGTGTAAAAGGCATGTGTAGTGTTTGTTATTTATAAAGCATATGTTGTTGGATTTTATCCAGAATCGAGACTTTGAAAGTATATAGTTTAATTACAGTTTGATTTATTTGACATCTGTATAATGTTTATTATTTTGTTTTTTCCCCCAAATGCCTAACGTTTTAGTTTAACATGAATATTTGTCATTCATCCAAATACATAAAGTTACACATTAAAAACTGTCCACAAATTAATTTGTTTCTCTGAGTAATTAACCATAGAATTAGATGGAAATTAATAACATGATTGTTTCCCATCTAAACAGCCCTAGTAACAGACAATTCAAGGGTGGGGAAGATTTTCTTCTAGTTACACAGCAATGTAACGTCGGTATGTTATACAGCTAATGCTTCAATTTTTTAAATCTCAACCAAAATATGAAGTAATGTGTTTGTACCCTGGCGTCCGTGGTGAAGTGATGACTCTCAAAGTGTTCACTGCACAAGCAGGAGAATGAATTGGGAGTCCAGCACTCTCTTTTTTGGTTGCTCACCCAAAGGTCAAGCCTCTCTGGATCACCTAGAGGAAAACTTCATACAAAGAACTAATTAAGTATATGGCTTTAAAATACTTACCGGAAATTACTGACTCGTGCGTACTGCAATATAAGCCTCACCCCCCCCCCCCCCCCCCCAAAAAAAGAGCGAGTTTATCTGATGGCATACAGACTTCTAACATCAAGCACTATCTACCAACTCACCGAGTTGCAGTATATCTACGGTCAGGTCCGGCTTGGGGAGAAAATATGACACGTCTTTCAGGATGGACTTCATCTTTGGTAGCTGGCGAAACCGGGAAAAGCAGGATCTAACCACCTGGCTAATGTGGGAGTCCATCCGCATCTCTGGGTCCAAAACCACCCCCAGGTTAGTGATGGTTGGCTTCACTAAGCTGCAAAAACAGGGTTGCAGGACAGGACTAACTGCAGTGGGAGAGGGAGGAACAAATATTCCAGTTATAAATATTAAATATTTGAACAAATAAATATTTGTTAAAAGGAAGAAACTGATGATGACTTTAAGATTAGAGGAATGTTCTAGAACGGGTCTGGAACCAACGATGGCCCTTTGGATCAAATTTGGATTAAAAAAATAGCTCATGATTTTATTTATGGCTGGAATAAAAATACAGGTTTTAAGCATCTTCTCAGTATCTTCATGTTGCACGACTTTCAACAGCAGAAGGACACAAAAACTGCCAGAATTATGATTAGAAAGATTTATGTTTTAATCTCAGAATCCCAACTTTTCCCAGAATCTTCACATTATTCTATGAATTCAGAGAAAATATACATTTTTCAGAGGTCTCGCTCCCCTGTTGTGGATATTTCTCAAAATTCAACCATTTTTTCTTTTCAAAAGCTTTAGTAAGAGTTTGGACTCTTACACAAGTTTTACTTTGCAGACTGCTTGTCTACACCTTCATCAGATCTGCTCATAATAAAACATTTGGGTTATATTTAATGTCTAGAGAAGATGCTCTTCCTGGGCATTAAGTTATCAAACACAGATCAAGTTTTTTTTTACCATAATTTTAACTGCTATCAGCTGATAAAAATAACAAAAAACAGCCTGATCATTAAAGGGGTGTAAGTGAAACCACGCGGATCACACAAACCATCTTGCTGTCTATATGACTTTGAAAATATATAGTTTAATTACAGTTTGATTTATTTGACATCTGTATAATGTTTATTATTTTGTTTTTTCCCCCTAAATGCCTAACGTTTTAGTTTTACATGAATATTAGTCATTCATCCCAATACATAAAGTTACACATTTTAAATTTTAATAGGGGAAGACTGCAGGGGGAGCGGTAAAATACAGAAATCCCCAGCAAAAACAAGAAACTTTACGAGTCTGATGAAACCCGCTGGTGTTCCTTCAGCAGGCCTGGTGGCAGCTACAACGACCCAGTGGCTGTGCTTGATCAATGTTATCGAGCTCAGTCCGGCTCGGCTGTGAACGAGCCGAGGCGACATCCTGCTCTGCTTAAGAAGAAGTGTTATTTTCCGCTTCAGAAGAAGCGTCCGTGTTTAACGCTTTCTCAGAGACATGTCACATCGCTAAGTTGTTAGCGCCGCGCGCTAACACGTCAATAGTGCAGCATAGCCTGCTGGAGGTTTTAAGGGTTCAGATGAAAACACCCTACCACTTGTTGGTCTTTCTTCTGTTAGACCAAGCACGGGTACGGAGAAGATGGAGTTAAACACCTTTTGAGTTGGCAGAATGTGGAGTCAAATGATCAGAGAAGTCCAGTCACTGTTTCACCGCTCGAGAGGGGGAGAGCCTTTACAACTTCCAGCAGGTCCCGCGATCTGCTCCTGACACTTGCTTCGGACAGACTCTCGCCATTCTGCTGAAAACGGCTGATTTTTATTGAAGATTACAGGAATGTTGCATACGCAGTTTGCCATGTACATACGTCAATGGTCATGACAGGTGAAAAATAACAGCCTTGTTAGTGGACAGTTAATACATCACTAGAACATGCATCCTTGAGATTACTAGGAACATCCTGATACATGAAGATACATTTCACCGGTGCCGAGAGGAAAGTGAGAGGAGCTGGAACGTGCTCACTCCCTTCAAGGTTGCAGAACAGAACATGCTGCTGTAAATCTTTGTGTAGAGGCCTTGAGTATCTGAGCAAGTGTCCATAGCATAGAGTAATACAAATGAGCTTATAAGGTAAATATAAAAGAAGCTTATAAGGTAGATACATATATTTTCAATCCCCCTTTTGAACTCTTTTAAGAGTTCAACAAAGATGTAGGAAATCAAAACAACAACACCAAATTTCATCAAAAAGACTCTAATAAGCAAAGTTTTAAAATACCAATACAAACAATCAATAAGTTTAAAATACCAATACAAACAATCAATCAGACTACAGCTTCTCATATTTCTAGCAGTAAACTAATACAAAAAACATGATCATATATGTAACTGAACATGTTACAACATGAATGGATCGCATGCTCACCCGTATGAGGGCGAAAAACCCTAATTGTCGTACGTTAATAGGGAAAATTCCCCCATGTCCTCACATTTTGGGACGAACACCTTTTGGCACAGAGTGGGCATGCATAGGTCAACAATGATCAAAAAAATAAAAAACAACACAATCAAAAACTCATAGAAATGAACAGGTGAAAGGATTGTTACATAAATCACTGAACATTCTCACACTCTAACAACATCTTCTTCATCATGAGAGTCATCATCACTATCATCAGAGGGTTCCCCTCCCAAATAGATGTTAGGATTGGCTAGTAACAAGGGCATCTGGATAATTGGGTCAGCAGGTGGAGGAGAGATGGCAATGGTAATCAATCTGTACATTCAGAATTGAGTTTGGAAATGCAATGAGTATAAAAATATATCTCAACTAAACAGGCAAATGAATAATAATATAAAATGAGTAGAGGGTGTAAAATTTAACCCTTGTAAAATAAATGAGGGTGTTAAATAGAACCCTTGTAGAATGTTCGTAGGGTGGTTACTTCTTCCCCCTGTTGAGGTCCCTCCACTGGCTCCAGGCAGCTGCAGGGGGTGATGATGTCAAGATTCTCGTCCTGCAGGATGTGATGGTAGCTTGGCACGCTACCTCGTCCTGCAGAATTGGTAGCTTGGCACGCTACTGTAGTCAGCTACTTCACTTCCTGGTTTTTGGATCCCTTTTTTTTTTTTTTTTTGTCAGGCAGATGTCAGCTGCTTCTCGTCCTGGTCCTTGGGTCCTCTTTCTGGTCAGGCAGATGTCGGCTGCTTCTCTTCCAGGTTAGGCTCCTCCCTCTGTGACAGGTTCTCTTGGACCTCGGTCAGGGTACGGTGTGGCTCCTCCGCTGCAGCACACTGGGTCCAATGGTACCAGGAGTCTCCTTTGCCATCCAGCCGGACAGCGTGTGACGTCCTCTCTGTGATCCTGTAGGGTCCGGTCCACCTCGGTTCCGTCCACTTCCTTTTGGTGACTTTCAGCAGGACCCAGTCTGTCCCAGGTTGTGGAGATGGGGCATCTGTGGTGGTACGATCAGCCTTAACCTGTAACGAGAACTGAGAGACAAGACTATGCAACAGGTCATAATATGACCTTGAGTCGAGGGAGTCAGTCAGGTCAGCAGTCAGAGGTAGTTTTGTGGCGGGTCCTGGAAACGGCCGTCCAGTCTGTAGTTCAAAGGGAGTGAACCTTGTGGTTTTGTTAACTGAGCTCCATGTGGACATCAGAGCAAGGGGCAAAGCATCTAACCAAGTTAATTTGGTCTGTGCACAGATTTTAGCCAATTTGACCTTTAGCGTTTGATTCATCCTTTCCACCTTTCCCTGGGATTGGGGATGATACACTGAACCAAACTTGTGTTTCAGTCCCAGCATGGTTTCAACCTCTTGTAGATCTTTATTCTTAAAATGTGTCCCATTGTCTGATCTGATTTTTTCTGGGAACCCGTGTTGGGGAATGTAATGATTGATCAAACATTTGATGACTGTTTTGCTGTCTTCTTTTTTCGCAGGCCAAGCCTCCGGCCATCCAGTGTAGGCATCTACACACACTAGGAGATACCTGTAGCCTTTTACCCTGTCAATCATATCTGTGAAATCTATGATTATCTCTTTTCCAGGGCATGTTGGTATTGGAAATTGACCTTGGATTGGTTTCAGGGTAGGTTTAATGCCAAACTGAGTACACTCTGTACAAGTTTTAACCAAATATCTGGCCATGTCTGTTAGGTATGGATGCCACCAGGGGGACAAATTTCTCATCATCTGTGCTACACCAACATGTCCAACACCATGTGCTTCTTCCATTGCTGTTTGCCTGATGCCAGGAGGTAGTATGGGTCTACCATCTGGATTTATCCAAACATCTGTGTTAGTGGCGCCTCTTGCCAACCATAAAGTTTTTTCCTGTGCTGAAGCTTGATCTTGCATGTCTTTCAGTGTTTCTCTTGTGATGGTGATTCTAGGATCAATGCTTTTTTCAACAGTTACTGTTTCAACCACTAGGTTATATACAGGAAGATATTCAGCTGTTATCTTGGCAGCTCTATCTGCCTCCTGATTTCCCTTAGATACAAAGTCAGAGCCCTGACTATGTCCTTTGCATTTTATCACTGCCACTTCTGCTGGAAGGAATAAAGCTTCTGCTAGTTCCCTCATCTCAGACTCATGTTTTATGGGTTTCACCCCAGCAGTCACAAAGCCAGCTCTCAACCATTGTTTCAATTCAACATGTACGGCTCCTACAGCATAAGCTGAGTCACTGTAAATATTTACCTTTTTCCCTGTGCTCATTTTGAGAGCTGCAATAATAGCTAATACTTCTGCTCTCTGTGCTGACTGTTGTTTTTTCAGCTTTTCCGCTCCTGCAGTGAACCACTCGCATGTAGGGAGTTGCTCTACTACTGCCCATGCAGCTTTTAATCCATCATTGTCATCTCTGTAGCAGCAGCCATCTGTGAACCAGTTTTTATCAGGATTTTGTAGTGGGATTGCACTTAAATCTGGCCTGACTTTTTCTTCTATTGCTGTTCTTTGTTTGCACGAATGAGGTTCCCCATTACCCATGTGGTCTGCCATGTTTATTCCTTCATGTGTGTAGGTGATGTGTGGGGCCTCTAGGATCTTACTGATTTTTCTTTGTCTTAGTGGGGTCATGGTGAAAGCTTGTGATGTAATGTTGTCGTGTGCCCGTCCCATTTACCGGTTCCTTTAAAACCCAGTTCCGTTAGAACTTATGAGACGGTGCATCCATCAGGGTTCGGGGGTGTATCGACGAGTATAATCGTACCAGACCCGGGTTTGGACTACCTAATTAGAATCTTGTCTTTTATTTTAAAGGTGAAATGACTTGCACGAATAGCCAGCCTCAGAGTGCTACACTTCTTTTAAACTCGTTACCTTTTGGTTAAGATACTAGAGAGAAGTCTGGAGGCAAGCCAAGCCTCTCAGCAATTGTTTGGGCTACCCGGAATTAATTGCGCCCCTAACAGCTTATGTGGGAGGTTGGTAACTATAAAATGATTTATGCTAGTTGATCAGGCTAACATAAGTTTATCAATTTATTTATTAATCCAACCTTCCAGCTGATTAGAGACTTTTTCAACCTGCAATCAGAGCCAAAATAACCTCGAATATTTTGCTTTTATCACCCTTAAGACAACTCGTTACTCGCAAGGGGAGAGAAGTTAAAACTTCCCTTATCTTAAGGTTTCTTTATATTATTCTGTTATAAACTGTAAAGTAAGTCCTGATAATTCAGAGACCGATCTTCGACATGCTTACCTCTGTGCAATTATGGCCAGGGCTCCAAACGTGAAGCTTTAGAGAAAACCTGAAAGAATCAGGATTA